TTTGTACTTTTTAACAGTACCGTTATATGGGAGTGAGTTCACCGATTTCAACTATTTCTACACTCAATAGAAGCGTAAAACATTTTGCTTCTAGTGAATTTTTGTTGATAGCATTAGCGGTTTAGGAGATATGCACATGAAACCTATTAGAGGGGACGCACTTTTAAAAAGTTCTAACTGCAGATGCCCTCCTAATGTGATCCTGTGTACCAAATACAGTCTTGTATCTTATTGCGGAGAGGGCAGTTATTTGTTTTGATTAATGCGTTTTGTGTAGCAGTGGTCCGATTATGCCATCTGCAATACCAACGTCTCACGGTACCAAGAAACATGTCTACAAGTTTCTAAAGATATCTCAATTTTACTCAAGTTAGAGCTTGCACGGACGGAGACAGACGGACGGACGGACAGACAGTCACCGATTTCAACTCGTCTTCATCCTGATCATTTATATATATATAACCTATATCTATCTCGATTAGTTTTAGGTGGTACAAACAACGTTAGTTAAACAAACATATTATACTCTAGCAAACAGGTTATATATATAAAATTGTGATGTATACAGCTGGCAATAGAAAAATATAAAAAAGATAAAAAAAAGATATTCAGTTGCATAGACGGACTGACATCATAAAATACGTTTGTCTCGCCATTCTGATCGTTTTGATGTATACAACATTTGAGTTGATGTGTCCACCATTATAGGACTAATTTTTAGGCATTACATACTTTTAACGTTATGTGAACAAATTCATTATTTTTATCTAATACGAGAGTATAGAAAGCTTTATCAAAATATTTCTTTTTAATCTCATTAACAATCAATAGTATAGTTGTCATATATGTTGACCATTATAAAGTAAATTTGGGGTCAGCCTTACGCCTGTGTAGCTTACTGCTTTTTGCATCATTTGAATATTCGTAGTCATTTGCACACTTACTTCTTTGTTAACAGTAGTAGCACTGTTTTTTTCTGTAGTGTGAGTCAAGCCATGCTTGCGTCTGTACGAGTATCATGACCTGCTTTCTGCGGGTTTCTGTGTCTCGGGCTGTGATCACTGCTGCGATATCGTCCGCGTAGGCAAATTATGTACCATCGTTATAACCAACATACCTAAAAAGAACCCTTGTGCTGCTAATTAAGAAGCTGAAAATCTTTATACGAAAAGACAAAACAATTCAATTCAGTTATTGCTCACGAAAAAGTAAATAATTATTAAAATGGACATTAGTTTAGAATTATATTACGATGACAAAAATGTTGGGGCCATAACGTATGTGCTGCACTTACGAAATAAGATGAAGGAACATTACTACAAACTTTTTGTTTCCTTGCTGACGTTAATTATCAAAATTTTGGACTTACTCTACCTATGATATGAATGGTTGGAGGTTTTAAAGTTGTGTATGTGTGCGCAGTGGATTGAAACACAAGTGACTGAAGAGGAGTAAAACGCTTCAAAAATTTAATTTTACTCAAAAAGTATATTCCTAGAGATATTAGATTGTATGAACTCTATATTCTCGTAACACTTTAACCAAAATGCAGTTGAGTTGAAAACCATAATAGGAGCTTAAGATAACTCCGCATCACAGCATTGAGGAAATCAGGGATTCAAAAACTATTTATTAGAACTTCGACATATCATTAAGCGTATTTGTTTGTATTTACGGCGTATACGCTGTGCGACTTCTATACTTTGATTGACTTCTGATAGCTCCTAAAGTTGACATGACAGCTCCTTCGAGCCATAGGTCTAGCTAGGTTCCTAGTTTATAGATTTCCCGCTGTGTCTAGCATTATGTCGACTAATTAAATTAGGCGAAGTTCGTTATGCTTAGAAAATTTTTTAATCCAATATTTGAAGGATATTTTACTCACTAATTGATACGTGTAGTAATAAACCAAAGGCAGAAATCATTCTATGGGACATGGAAAAAGTCAAGAACGATTTCTTTAATTTTTTGACTACAAACCGTAGTAAGCTAAGTGGACATTGGATATATTGTGGCATAATATACTTCTATACAATTTAATACAAATTGCGTGTCATTTAATATATAGATAGACATAACTAAGCGTTGCTCCAACTTCTTTAACCTGTCAAAAAAAGTTTTCTGGCCTACATGGAGGCAAAAAAAGCATTCTCATTTCTCTGATATTTCCTCCCGGCAAATGACTTTTTCAAGTTTGGAAACAGAAGGAGGTCAAATCTGTCTTAGCAAATAGGAGTTTGAATAGGCGGAGAGACAAAGCACCAAAAATATACTCTTAGCTTGCAAGAGATAGGCCATATTTTTATTATTGTAGAAAGACTTACAAAATACTATATAAATACATAAAATTGTTTTTTTAACTGTTTTGCTAAGTTTGTTCTTTTTTTCTTTTTCGTTAAGAAAAACCATGCGCTAAGGAGAACTTAATCTACGATATTGTTCCAACAGAACTTATCAAAGACAAAATTGATTCTGCTACTACTGTTGTCCCTCTAGAAGCGAGTGATAATGACACCAGATCTGCTAAAATTGGAGTATTAACCCAGAAACTACCAAGGCAAACGAATGAAAGCAGTATGATAAGTTCACCACATTCAAAAATATTTCGTGATCTAATAAAAATAAGTGGTTCTGACATTATTGATACTAAAAAAAAAACCTACTGTAGTCCTATGAACAGTAAAAGTGAATACATCAAGGATAAAAATGAATCTGATGGAATTTTATCTATAGTTCGAACAAATATTCTCAATACTGGTGATATTTCAACAAGCACTAACGTACTCGGATATAGTCGAGCAAATTTCAACGAAGTGGTCTGTGAGGATGAACTAAATGATTCTAAAAGTAATGAAATTCCAGGTTTTGTTTGTATACCGGCGAGTAAAATACCAGTGCCTAATATTCGGCAAGCAAAATGTGCTTCCTGGTCTGGATCTGATATGACAACAGCGTTATCACTAGTGGGAACAAGCTCGTACTCCGTAGCAACAACAGTACAAGAACCCGAATTGACAAGTAATAATGAAAACAATTGGGAGAACTGTACAAAACGAACATCTAAAGGTGCTAACGTGAATGAAAACACAACTTTGACGGATTTAACACCAGGTTTGTGGAACAACGTGAATTAGCAAATATCGTTTATTAACGAAAAAGTTTTCAAAAAAAAAAGAGATAACATCGCATTATCATTCATAATCCCGAGATGTTTATATGCAAAATCCAAATATGAAAATATATTTTTATATCTTAGTAGTTTTATTCGACAGAGCTCTTAAATTTTCAATAACTGCTTATTTGGCTTATATAACATTAAAGTTGGAGTGATACACTTTCAATTTTACGTAAAAAATACTCGTAACTAGTCAAAATAATAATATAAAGTTAACACATTGACAGACATTAGGAACAACTGAGGTTCGAAAAATTACACTATCATTTTTAGAACATTAGACGTACTTATATTGTTTTACTTTTTCTTCTTAAATAAACTTAATTTTGAGTAATTTAGCACCTTTAATTTTTTTTCGTGCAAAATAGTATTTTTAGGAATTATACATGAAATGTTAGTTTATAACCAAACAAACATAATTAAATGACAAAAAATCGCAGTACTCCCTTTACAACCACCTGGACACTAAATCTGCAAGCCGTGTAACAGGTGTAAAACCAAATTAAATCTTAACAAGAAACAAGTAAGGAAAGGCTAAGTTCGGGAGCTAAGGGAAGTATTGATCGATATTTGACCATATTTGATATACGAAAATAAGATTATCAGGAAAGAATTATTCCGAATTTTAATATCGCAGATGGGCCGATATTTTCGATAAAATGTTCGCTGTTGGAACCGGGGTCCATATATTCGGTAAATGGGAGCTTGAACAGTTGTAGTCCGATATTGACAATTTTTGAACATGAGGTGCCCTATTTTAAGCGCACTATTTGGGAAATTTTTATCTTTATACATTCATCGGTGCTTCATATGCATACTGAAAAGTGAAAAAATAAGATGGAATTTAAAATTGTGTTATAGTGGAAATAGGCGTAGTTGGTGTTCAGTTTCGCCCATTTTCACACAGTAATATAAAAATGTCATGTTAATGTGGTGCCACGCCTATCGTCTAATTTTGACCCCGGCTCCTATAAAGCCCTTTCGAACAATCTCGTATTCAATGTCTCGGGCGTAGTTATTTTTTGATTTATCGCGCTTTTAGTGGTTTTTAACGATACCGCTATATGGGGAGTGGGCGGGTTTATCACCCGATTTCACCCATTCTCACACTGTCGGGAAAGGTGTTAAAAATATGTGTTCTGAGTGAATTTTATTATTATAGCTTGGTTTAGGACATATTCACATTAAACCTATTAGAGGGCGAGGCCACACCCACTTTTTTTAACATTTTTAAACTGAAGATGCACTTCCCTTATATACCAACCTTATATAACAGTCTTGTATCTGATTGTGGAGCATAGTTATGGAAATTTGTTAGTTTTTGGTTAATGATATTTTATGGGCGTGGCAGCTATCCGATTGCGCTCATCTCCAATACCAACCTTCTTATGGTGCCAATAAATATGTGTACCATGTTTTATCAAGATATCTCAATTTCTACTCAAGTTAAAGCTTGCACAGACGGACGGACGGACAGACAGAAGTCTGCTTCGATGTTGTCGAGAGGTTATTTTATTTTACAACATTTTGGCAAGAGTTTATCGCTGATAGAATAGTAATCCCGTATGTCAGCAAGATATGAAAAAAATTCGTATCTACCCGTCCGGTACCTCTTTGAAAAGCCCTTCCTATTCTCCTTATAAAAGCATGCTAAAGATCTAGTCAAATCAGTAGTTCTTCTATCGAACGCTAGATCTTCCAAATGAAAACCATGTAGAACTTGATTAGTCTATATGTCTACAGTGGCAGGAGTCATAGACGCATAATGAGGTTGTCCTTGAACTTCTCGTCCACATGAGACTGTATACTTATTTTATATACTAAAAATTCGCAACCAAAGCTCACCTGAGAACCCTTATCATTGCGTAAATGAAACCAATAATCAGTAAGAAGCACCTTTACTAAGAGAGTAGTTCGGTCACTCTGCAAGAGAAATTATTGGCCCTCGTCATTTGGTCGTTCTTGTCAACGGAGTACCTTGGGCACCACCATTAGCGTGGTACGTACGTACCAGAAGGTTACCTGGGGAAGTACTTTTAGTGCCCCTTAGTTTGGGCCTCCTGTTTCTGCTAAGGATTTTTCCGCAGTTAGTAGCCAAATGAGCCTTCACGACATGAGTGATTTCGGGCCGCTTGAAATATGTGAATTATTTGCCGAAAATTATGGTATTTTAGTTGCACGCCATTCCACGAACATATTCATTGAATTTTATACTTATATTCCACTCGGTTCGGGTAGCAACCGACACATTCATCATTTCAAGTGCTCTATACACAAAATTTAGTTGCGTAGCTCGAGATTATGACGGGTGGTAAAATAAGTATACTAGATGCTGCATGTGGTGCTCTGAGAACGAACATGGATTGTCGTAATGTTGTTTATATCAGCCAAAACTTCTTCATACACACTTGTGTACATGTCACGTAGTAAAGAAACATTTCCGCCTTCAAACATAACTTTGAGCGCCAACCAATTTTAAGGCTGTTTCGCATAGCTTAGAATTGAAACGGGTTACAACCGCTTGTCTGATGCCTGAGTACCTTGGGAATCTCGGTATATGCTGATATTTTACGTTTTCATTTGATGCAGGTGTTGTTGACGGAGGAAATTCGTTGAAGTGAGCAAGTCATCATGATTCACTGTTTATTAGATTCGCTGCAAATACAATTCAGTTCCTACTCCTACTAACTTTCAACAATAATATCTTAAGCTTAAGTTATGCTTATATAGAACAAGTAAGGACGACTTAGTTCGAATGTAACCGAATATTTTATACTATCGCGATTTGCAAAGTGCAAAGGCAGAGAAATAATTTCAAGTGTTGCAAAACTTTATATTAAAAAAATGTTACGTAAGAATTCAAAATTCATTATCCGAAGAAACCGGATGATTAACAATCAAATTTGACACCTTATTAACTTGCGTATGTTAAAAGTTGTAGACTCAGATTTACATTTACATTTTTCTTATTCGAAATATTTATATTAAAGAAAGAAAGCAACTTAAATTAATTAAAATATCACACATTTTGACCAACATAAATGATTTAAAGTCAGATGGAAAGTCGAAATAGGAGAAAATCATTATATACAGTATATTGGGGCTAAGGGAAGATATTAACTGATTGCATTAACTTTTGATATTACTCAAGTATACTCGAGAACATGTTACCAAACAATTTTATGAAGATAACCGGCATTGACCGACATATTGGGCATAAAGTCTGCTGAAAGTAGTATAGGGATTTTGGGATAATTCGTGGACCAGTTTCACACATTTTCAGAATTGAGCTAAAACATATCCTGTATTATGCGTTACATTAATATTGCTAAGACATCTTACGGGTTACATATCGAGTATGTATACGCTATAACTTCAATCGTTTGAGGTTTAAAATTCGTATATCAGGTATATGAGGCTAATGCCAGTGTTGTCCCGGTTTAACCTGTTTGGACTCAAAGACATAATATTACCAGGAAAAGATTTTCTCTGAATTTCAATAACATATCTCAGAATTTTACCGATACTTTCGGTATAAAATCAGCTATATGTACTGAGCTCCACAAGTTCGGTGTCTGGGGCTTTGAAAACCTCTAGTCCGATTTCAACTATTTTTGGAGGTAAATGGCATACCTCAGAAGCACTATTTGCTCTAGATTTTATTCCTTTCACTTTATTGGTGCTTGATTTATATATTTTAGAAATAAGAAGTCGGCGGGGTTCATGTCCGATTTCGCTTATTTTCACAATGCAACATACAAATGTCGCAGTAGTGTTAAGCACCGAATTTGGTAGAAATTAGTGGATTGTTTCCTGAGATATAGATTTTCATGGAAAGGTGGGCGGCCCATTTACAAATTTTGATACCGAATTTTAATTTTTGCAATGTATAAAAAAATGATCGATCGAATTTCTTCTAGCAAATTTGGTTGAAAAAGCTCAAGTGTTTTGTGAGATTTAAAAAATTTCACTGCGGTATTATGTATGAAAAGGCGGCTTTGTATCTTAATATATTGCTTAGTCACAGCCCTTTATATGCTTTCACGGCATCATTCTACACCGCATTGGGTACCAAGGCATGCAAATTATGTTTTTGTGTCAAGCAAAACAATTTTTAAAAAGTTCGAAGTTTTTAGTTCGCTTCGACCGAACGTGTCTTTATTTCAGTAATTCTCAAAAGACTGCCTTAAATATACATCCAAGCTTATTTATAGGCTTACAAAATTGTTTACTTATTTTTAGTTTCACAGAATTGTGAAATAGTTTAATTTTGAAATTAAGATAAAATAAGAACATTTCATTGTAGCTGCAAAAATGCAGAAGGCTTGTTAATGTCAACAATAGCCACTTGTGTAAACAAAGTGTGTTGTTTTAAAGAATGACTTCCAATATAATTTATGAGAAGAATCAATAATGATTTTGTTTACAATTACGGTAAAGAAGCTGTATGGAGGCTGCCGTTAATTCCCCCCTCTCTAAGATGAATCGTCCCCGATTCAATTTAATTTTTTGTTAAATTATGAATTTGATCCAAAATTACATTATATGAAATTTGTTGAAATTCGGAATTTTCATTCTGTTTTTTAGTTTTGTTTAATTTGATCAACTTTTTGCATAAATAAATTTTTGAAAATTATGCAAAAAGCTATAAAAATATAGAAATAGATTGAATATCTTCATTTTTTTTACCCAGAAAATTTATATTTTCTAATTTTAAATGTTCATTTGTAGTTTCCATATATTCTATTATTTTAAAATTATTAACATGATTTTGCGTTAGATAGTTCCAAATTTTTTTTTTTTTTTTTTTTTTTTTTTTGCGGGTGAGGGGGTGGAAAATGCCTTCCGCATCATCAGTGCTGTCGTCACAGCAACGGTATGTGTCACTTGCAGGTCACTAAAAACCCCCCCTCTAGGGAACCGTCGCCCACCCTAG